GTCCGATGATTTCCGCATTCCGTTGGGTCACCTCTCTTTGGAATGGGCATAAACATTGATCTTTTCCAATCAGTCGGCCAGACAGTTGTCTTCCATGCTTCTTAATTAACAGTAAGAAGCACATGTGACTTAGCTAGCATATTGATTTAAATGTATTTTCTAACTTAATGTTTTTTTTTCTTCTACCAACAGTATATAAACCTGTCACTCACATGCATGTGTGAAGCATGGGAAGAAATACTGATGCAGATGGATTCCCGGCTCACCACATTTGTGCAGGTAAGTAATGTAACCGAAGTGTCCACGGAAAGACTGCAGAACATGCAGTAGTTTGCTGTCTGAGGTGCAGGAGGTAGTCAGGTGTGATTTGTAAAAGGCCAAGGGCTAATATCATAGTTTCTCTCAAATGGCTCAGTCTGACTTCAAACAATCTGTATCACTGACTTGTACATGTAGAAACAAACTGTTGGGTTGGTGTATGTTTTGCTGTGTATGTGCTCAACAACAACAGATACAGACTGCCGTGAGAAAAGACGGAATCTCAGAGACCTCTCCAAAAAGGGCTCTCTGCCAATTGGCCCAGTGGAGGTGGGGCCAGCACGATGGATGGGGCTGCTGGGGCTCCAGGAAGACAGCTGTGGGACTAGCTGACGGGCTGTCCTCACATCACTGATACTCGGATGGTCAATTTAAATATAGACTTGGGGGGAGGTTGAGGAGAATAACTGCACTCATCTTGTTCCTATAACTTTGAATAAATAGGCTTGTAACATACTGAAATTGACATTGCCGTTGTGTCTGTCTAGGAAAAGAACACGACCACATCGGTGCAAGACGAATTCATGCACCTGCTGCTATGGGGGAAAGCAAGGTAATCAGCTCCTACCAGGTGCTCTTGCTTTTCTGTCTTCTTTTGAAAGTATTTTATTTCAAAAGTAATTCATATTCATCATTTTTAAAAGAGAAAATTTTGGTGTGCAGCGAAAACCACCATAAAAGCCCCATTAATTCAATTACCCAATATTGTTGTTAGGTGCTGTTGAGTCGGTTCTGACTCATAGGGATCTGATGCATAACAGAACTCAGCACTGCCTGGTCCTGTGCCAACCTCACAGTCATTGTTAAGCTTGAGCTCATTGCTGATGCCACTGTGCTAATCCAGCTCGTTGGGGGGTTTCCTCTTTGTTGCTGACCCTCCACTTTACCTAGCACAATGTCCTTCAGGGACTGATCCCACCTGATAATATGTCCGAAGTATGGCAGATGAAGGCTGGCCATCCTGGCTTCTAAGAAACATTCTGGCCGTACTTCTTCCAGCTTAGATTTATTTGTTCTGGCAGTCCATGGTACTTTAAAAAAAAAAAAAAAAAAAAAAAATTTATTTTATTGTGAATGGAGTGATAGTTTACATGGGAGAACATGGCTTTAAACCATTGTTTCATTGCAATGATTACAATCTCCTCCATGCATCATCATTCCACAGTATTTGCTTCCATTCCCACTGTTTTTCTTTCTTTTTTTTGGAGGGGGGGTTGTACACAAAAGCACTCAGGAATATATAATAATTTAAGCATCCAATGGGCACATTCTGCAAGCTTGCCTCCTGGCCGCCAGCACTCAGTCTCTCTTTTTCCTTGAGTCCAGATCCCTCAGCTGCTCCCTCTCTCCATGTCCTCATCTCTGCCTCCATCTCTGGTGTCACTGCTTCTCTGGATAAGGTTCTGCATTCCACTTGTGCTCTTCTCACTTGATGGTCCTAGGGTTCTCTGTTTCTGGACTGTTAAGATTGACTACTCCCTCGTTTTTGTTATAAAACTTCTACCTTTACCAGTTGTGACGGTTGCAATTAGTCATGATAATAATTACTCACTGTGGAATCATAAGAATCTTTTCCCCATCTCTTTTCACCAGACCTGTCTAGACTAAATGAAAACTATTCAGTGGGGACCTATCTTCTCCTACGCACTCTTAAACTCCCTCTTGAAAACTTGTAAGCCAGTCACTTCGTGCCTTTATTACTCTCTCATTTTAGGTAGCCAGTGTCTTAAGTTGCCTGTCCCTGTCTACCCTGTGCACAGAGAAGATGGGATTGATCCTTGATGTGAAGACTGCTTCCCTTTCAGTTGGTATTTTGAGCTACTACATCCATAAAAGTTCTGATTATGAAGCCATCGAGGCTTGGTCAAATGGGTACTATCTGCAAGTCTGGGTGTTCTTGTGCATCTCCCCTTACTTCACATCAGCTGGATGCTTCACTTTCAGCTCTAGCACTCTGTGGCTATGTCCTTGTCCATGGGCTAAGGAGTCCTCAGGTCTTATCACACTTCGAACCAACCAGCCCTTCCTCTTCTCTCTCTCACCTCCAGGTCAACAGGAGTCTATGGAACATGGTTGAAAGTCCGTGGTACTTTTAATAGTCTTCTCCAACACCATGACTCAAAGCATCAATTCTTCTATGATCTTACTTATTCACTGTCCAACTTTCACATGCATATTAGGTTATTGAAAATACCTTGGCTTGGGTCAGGCACACCTAAGTCCTCTTAAACACTTTAAAAGAGGTCTTGTACAGCAGATTTGCCTGATTCAGTACATCATTTGATTGCTTGACTGCTGTTTGTTTCCATGAGTGTTGATGGTGGCACTAAACAAAATGAAGTCTTTGACACCTTCAATCTTTTCTTCATTTATCAGGATAATACTTACTGGACCAATAGTGAGGATTTCTATTTTCTTTGCATTGAGACACAGCCCTAATTGAAAGCTGTGGTTTTTGATAATCATCAGTGTTTTAAGTCCTCTTCACTTTCAGCAAGCAAGGTTGCATCATCTGCATATTGCAGGTTGTTAATGAGTCTTCCTCCAATCCTGATGCCGTGTTTTCCTTCATGTAATCCAGCTTCTCAGATTATGTGCTCAGCATACAGATTGAATAAGTATGGTGAAAGAATACAACCCTGGTGCACACCTTTCCTAATTGTAAACCATTCAGTGTCCACTTGCTTTGTTCAGTTTGATTTTTGTATATTCATCTGGTCAGGTTTATGTGTATAGTTGTCTTTTATGCTTTTTTAAAAAAAAGGTATTTGAAATAAACAAGTTATTGATCTTGTAAAATTCTATCATGTGATCTCCAGGAGCATTTCTATCATCAAGTCCATATTTTCCAACTACTGATCCTTCCTCTTTGTTTCCATCCTTTGCATTCTAATTGTCACTAGTTGTCAATACATCTTGATTTCATGTTTGATCAATTTCAGACTAAAGGCATTTGTAAAATGCTTCAGTTTCATCATCACTGGCTTTTGTGGTTGATGTGTAAATTTGAATGATAGTGGCATTAGCTAGTCTTCCTTGTAGGCGTATGGATATTTTCTCTTCACAGACAGCACTGTACTTTAAGACAGATCTTGGTATGTTCTTCTCTTCAGTTTGTCATTGCCAGCATAGTAAACCATGTGATTGACAGATCAAAATGGGCAGTACCAGTCCATTTCAGCCTAGGATATTTATCTTTGTGCATTCCATTTCATTTTTGACAACTTCCAGTTTTCCTAGATTCATACTTTGTGATTACATGTTCCGATTATTACTGAATGTTCACAACTGTTTCTCCTTATTTTGAGTTTTGCCCCATCCGCAAATGAAGGTCCTGAATACTTTACTCCATCTGCGTCATCATAGTCAACTCTACTTTGGGGAAGCAGCTCTTCCCCAGTTGCTTTCCATCCTGAGGGACTCATCTTCTGGCACTGTGTCTAACAGTGTTCTGGTAGTCTTCATCATGTTTCAATATTCAATATTTTGGTGCTGTTTTAAGTGTTCTGCTATTTATAAGGTTTTCAGTGGCTAAACATTCAGAAGTAGTTCATCTGTCCTTCTTCCTAGTCTGTCTTAGTCTGGAAGCTCAGCTGAAACCTGTCCACACCATGGGTGACCCTGATGGTAATTAGAATACCAGTGGTATAGCTTCCAGCATTATAGCAACATGCAAATCCCCACAGTATAGCAAACTGATAGATTAATTATGTGGTTCCTGTGAACTGTTGACTGTTTTTCCAGATTTTCCTATACACAGTTAATATTTATGAGAACGTAGACATATGTACAAAATTAGAACTTCTGTACATTAATATAGGTATGTATGTATGCATGTGTATGTGAGATTTGCATTATCTTTATACATTGTTAGTTGCCAATCATAACAGTTCCTACGTAAGGAATGTGTTCTGTATCACAGAATGAAGTGATATATAAGTGTGTAAATGTATATATATGTGTAAATATATAAACAGGTAAATTTTCTATGTAATTTTTTGGTATCTGCTTTTGTTGTTATTCCTAGAAGATCTGAAAAAAACACAGAAAAAGTATTTGTTTTTTCTTCTAGAGCTTTTTTGTGTTGTTTTTTTCTGTTTACATGTTCCAGATTTGATGTATTTAGTTGTATGTCATGATTTGATTTATTTAGTTATATGTCATGGAAGGCTAATTTCTTTATATTCACTAAATATTAGGTAATTGGCCAGTATGATTCCTTGTCATCTTTCATATCTGGTTTGAAATGTCATTTTATCATTCGGTACATTGGCATACACCCATTTATGCTAGAATCTTTTTCTCTCATTGTATTCTGTTTATTCCTTCCTATGACAAAAAAAAAAAAAATGCCTTCACTTTTGTTGATGATTTCTTTCTTTCTTGATTGTATTTAGAAAGTTAGAAGTTTAAATGATGCAGTCAAGTTCAGAGTAGAAAAATGACGACATATTTTCCTTCTCTTGCAGTGTTGAACTTCAGACCCTCTTAATGAGCCAGCTGACTGTGAAGGTACGCTGCAAGTGTGTAAACGGTCGTGGACGTCGGCTTCATTTTCTGGTGGTCAGGGTGGTGTGGAGTTTTCTAGTTGTGTGCTCAGTATAATTTCTTCTCTGAATTAGGGCTTAAAGAAGCTGGGCCAGTCTATAGAGTCATCCTATTCCAGCATACAGAAACTGGTGATAAGTCACTTACAGAGGTACGAGGGCGCTGTGGAACCCACATCCAGGGAAGCCTGTTGTGTTTTGGCGTCAGTCTTCTTTCAACTGACCCTTCACTTCTTCATCTGACATGCTTTTTTTGTTAAGTGTCATCGAGTTGGTTCCAACTTATAGCTACCCTATACAGGGTTTCCGAGGAACGGCTAGTGAGTTGGAACCGCCGTCCTTGCGGTTCAGTTGGCATTTGAGGGAAATCTTGGAATGCAATATATAGAATCAATAATGGTAATTCTTGTTTATAAATAATTTGCCAATGGCTTTCCCCAAAACTCATGAGTTCTATTTTGAAATAGGGCATATATCCCTATTTAAAAAAAAAATCCCTATTTTTTTGAGACAGTGAAACTGATAGCCTTATATATCATTTTTTTTTCTTATATTTCATTTTATAGTTCACCAAGCACATTGTGTGTGTGTGTGTGTCTGTGTGTTTGATATCTTAGCAAGATACTGGTTATCATGACCCTCATTTTGTGCTGGAAGAAACTGATGTTCAGAGCGGCTATATGGCTAGCCCACAGTTAGCGTCAGAGCTGAGTCTTCATCCCAGGCCTGCACAGCTCACACTGTGGTCATTGTCCATCCATAGCCGCCTCCGTGAAGCGCTTTTCAAATGAATGCTGAGTGTTGACTGTAAATCCCCTGAGTCCCTGGTGTCTGTTACTGTCCCTACTCTCCCTGGATCACTGCACAAGCCTCCTGGCTGATCTCCCCAGTCCACACTGTGCCCCCAAGTGTTTTCTCCACAGTGGATCAGATCGTGCTACTGTCACGCCTTCAGAGGCTTCCCACCACTCTGAGGACCAACACCCCACCCTTTACACTGCCTGTAACATAATCTGGCTCACCTTTGCCCAAACTGGCCTTGTACTTTCTCGGATTTGACATTTTGTCTCCCCAAAATGGCTGTTGTACACCTTTCTCCCTTCCTGGAACTCTCCCCACCTGACCTTCACTTGAATTCTTCAGAGAAGCTTCCTGGTCCCCCAGACCTGCACCCTGTGAGTTTCCTATGTGCATGGATTGTGACCTGAGCAATATACTGTGTGGGCTGTCTCCCCCATGAGCCTCCAGTGATAACCAGTGCAGATGCTGGCCTACAGTAGCAGTACTTAGTACAGATTTCTTGAGTGGTAAATACGTAGCCGTTAGGTGAACAAGATGACCATAGGACTGTCTAAAATGCCATGACTATGTATAATTTTCTTTATATGTGTTAATTAGATCTTACTGCAAAATTTAGTCTTGTGGTTGTGTGCTAATAAACACACAGGGTGGAGGTGTAGCAAGAACCTGATCTTGTCTGGGGGACCCAGGGAAGTTCTCTGAAGTGAAGAATGCTGGTGAAGGTCGGGGAGCGTTTGAGGAAGGGAGAAAGGCGTACGACATGACTATGTATAATTTTCTTTATAGGTCTTGTTGTTGTTAGTGCCGTCAAGTCGCTTCCGACCCAGGATTGTATTATAACATTCAGTCTTGTGGTCGTATGTTAATCTCAGTAGTCATGACCAAATGACTCTACTACCATTTTTAGAAATAATATTAGGAAATGACTGGTTTTCATAGAACAAAGTCAAAGTTACTCTCAAGTGTTCTGAAACTGTAGAAAATGTAGACATTTATAGGTCAGTGGTAGTAATGAGCCTCCTTTGTGTCTGCTCTGTTTTGATAGTGGCTCAGAGTCTCTTTTATACCATTTGAGTGAACTGAAAGGAATGGCATCATGGAAGCAAAAATACAAACCTCTCGGACTAGATGCGGCAGGCATCGAAGGTAGTGGTTTCCTTCATCACTACAATACACTCCTTGTAGTTGACGTATTTGACACATGCTGTCTCTTCCTTGTAGATGCTATTACTGCGGTGGGTTCTTTCATACTCAAGGCAAACGAACTTCTTCAGTAAGTATTGGGATGCTGGAAATCACTGACGGACACTACTTCACTTTCAGCTACACTGAGAACCTAGCAGGTTGTCATTTTCATTAAACTTCATGTGATTTCACACAGGCTGATAACACAGAGACCTTAGGAAGTTAAGTGGTATGCTCTTTTGCCATATCGCGGGAGGGAATCTTTTAACTCATTTTAGCTCAGTTTTTCTACAGGTTACGTCTGTATTCCTAAATTATGTGGCTCTGCTGCCAGTTCTTTCATTCAGCAGTTTTCAGAAGCTGAGAAGTAAGTTGGTTTCAGGGAGCCCTGGTGGTGCTGTGAGTGAAATACTCGGCTGCTAACAGAAAGATTGGCGGTTCAAGCTCACCAGCTGCTCTGCAGGAGAAAGATGTGACAGTCTGCATCCAAAAACCTTGACAGCCTCAGAAGCCCTATCTAGCTGTCCTAACTTTGTCCGATAGGGTCACAATGAGTCAGAATAGACTTGACAATCGTTGGTTTAGTTTTGATTTGTTTGTTTTTTCTGGGCTTTCTTTGTTTCTTCACATTGTCTGCCTTTATCACATCCCTGGAATTCACCTCCAACACAGATGCCTTCTTTTTCAGCCTTCCTTCTCCTGCTTCTAAGAAGTCCAAAGGTGCAGGCCAAACCCACCATCAGCTTGAACCCACCAGGTCTGTGGGAGAAAAGCTCTGGAGGTCTGTTCCCATAAAGATTTCCACATAGGAAACTCGATCGGGCAGGTCTCCTCTGCCCACTAGGACCACTGTGAGTCAGGATGGACTCCACGGTACTGGCCAATCACCTCCTGCCTCATCTGGGCTGCCAGGCTCCAGAGCTGCTCCCTCCACAGTGAACTGCAGAATGCATCTTTGCTTTCATGGGTTAAGAGCCTGAATTTTTAGGATCTTCTCTCTTTCTTTGTTTCTGTAGTCATTTTGCTGGAATACATCTTCCAGTAACTTAGCAGATAAGAAAGAGACATTTTCTGTGTTGTGTTCTTTCCTCCTGCCCTTCCTTGAATGCTGGTTTCTGTAAGGTACTGGATTCTAAAGGCGAAATTCCTTCTCAGGAAACACTGGAAGCATTGCTTCATTGTGTTCTAGCCCTTTGTTATTGTCAGTGAGTAGCTTCTGACTCTTTCTGGCCTTTGAGTTGCTAATGGGTCTGGCACTCCTTTGTTCTTATTCCTTCATCTTTTTCCTCATCCCTGAAAGCAGAACCTTCTGCTCATTTTGTGTGTTTTTGACTGGAATATACACTAGGAGTTCTTCATGTTTCTGGAGGAAGCACATGACTGCTCTGGGTTTGGATCTCATTTTATCTTCGTGTGTCCAGCCCCACTCATCGCCCTAATGGTCTCTGTCAAACTGACACCTGGAACCTGATGGGTCGAGTGCCCCTGGAGCCCTATGGGGCATCTGGCTCCTGTTGCTGAGTGTCACCAGGCACTGGCTCTCCCTTCAGTGGCCCTGGCAGTTGTAAAAGTGATTTTTATCTCTTTCCTCCTGTTCTGTTTGCTGTTTTGAGTTTCTGGCACACATCCCCTCTATCCACGGTTGTTTCATGTTTCTGTGGAGACCCTATGGTGCTGTTCTCTGCCCTGTAGGGTCTCTGTGAGTCAGAGTCAGATGCACCAGTAGTGGGTTTGGTTGCATGAGTCCTGAATGTCTGGATCTGTGGAAACCGTATGGCACAGTTCTGCGTTGTCCTAGAGGGTCACTTTGATTTGGAATCAGCTTGATGACCTGGGTTTGGGTGTTCTTTTGTATTTTGGTCGGCAGAGATGATAGACATGTGTTCGGAATTAAAACACGAGAAGAGAAATGAAATTACTTTTCTCATATGTTGATTTTTGTTGTCATTCACTGCATTTGCTGAGAATAAATATAAACTAGTAAGTGCTCTGTGGTCTCTTTCTGAATCGAAGGAGATGGTATCTCTATAACAGCTCACTCTTGAGGTAATTAGAATACCACAGGTTACAGATGGAGAGAGTGAGGCAGTGAGAACGCTGATGCTGGGCTGTAACACATGAGTAGTTCCCTAGGGTGGGGTGGGGCTGTTTGGGAAGGAAATAAAGGGTCTTTTCTGTTCCATAGCTTGATTGGTGGTGGTTATAAGTGTATGTAAATTGATCAGCATTCTTCAAAGTGTACACTTAACAATAGATGTGTTTTATGTGAATTATACCTCAATGAAGCTGGTTTTTAAAAAAATGACTGTTAGAGCTGTATTAAGATGATGAAGAAATGTACATGGCATTGAAAGAGCTGTGCCCTCTCAAGCCTGATGTGGTCCCCTCCCCCTTCATTTCTGCTAGAGGGTATTAACCCTATTCCCTCTGCACATAGATGCCACAGTACTTGTTCCAGCTGCACTGCTCTGGACAGAGACGTCTCCAGGACTTAGTAGTAGGAAATGTAATGTTGGAAAGGTTTTGAGATTTAGGAATGGGAAGGACATGTAGTATTTGTTTACGATAATTATCCTCAAGATGTGAGCTTAAATTCAATAAAAAATTGGTGATACCCAATCTCAGTATTTAGAAACAGTTTCATCAAAATGAAGCTTACTTCCATCTTAGCCCTAGTTAAGTTTTTGGGTCCATTTTCGTAAAGACCATTTTTGAGATCTCATTGGTTATTGTAAGGTTTTAGAATAATAAGCCCCCCCCCCCCACTGAGAATAATGCTGAAATAACTTGTTCCTGATTTATTTTATCTGCAAAGTTAGGAAAGGAGATTACACTTTACTGGATGCTAGCAAAGACTAGGACACAGTTTGTGGCAAGGCTGACAGAGCCATTCAAAATTGGAGCTTTGGCCTTTATTTTGGGAAAGAATCAAGATTTGTGCTATTAAAATGGTATTCTTAGGTATTATGTTTGATTTGTAAAATCTGCTGCTCCAAGGCCTTAAATTTCATCTGGATTGTGTAAAATAGCACAGCGGTGGTTGTTGTAACCCCGGACCATTCAGCTGTGACACAGGCACCTCACACAATCGTTTTGTTTTTGATTTCTGTTGTTTTTCTCTTTCTAGAGTTATCGATAGCAGTATGAAAAACTTCAAAGCATTTTTTCGGTGGCTCTATGTGGGTAAGTTAGTTGATTCAGGCACTGGTGTTATTTGAACATTGTACAAAACTTGTGAGAGTAGTATCTTAGATGGTTTCAGTCAGGCTAGTAACACTTGAAAAACACCTGTAACAGTAGAGAGATTGGAGAACGAGCCCCTGGCACCCGGTTCAGCAGTTAGCACCACATGGCTATCCCCATCACCCCACAGACCGACGGAAGGTTCTTGTAGCACTTACGTACAGGGGTCTCCCAGAATCTTCTCATTCCACCTTTCCAGGAATTTTTTGAAACCCCGTGTATTGTCTCCAGTACCAACTGATTGTTAGTGTTTTTCTCCTTAAAATAAAATTTTCTACGTTTGGTAACTCCTTAAAGTAAATATCTAATCTCTGTTAGGTGTTAGATTCAAAAAGAAAAAGGAAGCTCCTAAGACACAGCCTCTGCCCTTAAGTAACTTAACCACCTTGTTATACTTTCCGTCTCTAGATTTTTGCTTCCAATGCGAGAGGGCTCCAGAAAGCTTGTGGGAAAATGCAAATAAAAGAGAATGGGAGTTTTCCTCAAACTTTCTGAAGCCCCCTCGAATGATCACTGATAACCAAATGGGGCTATTTAAACCTCAATTGAAATGAAATAAGATGACAGCTCCTTAATCACATGAGCCACAGTTGAAGTAGTCACATGTGGTCAGTGGCCACCATATTGGACAGTGTGGAGCTGTGGTGTTGGATAGCAGCGCCCAAGTTGGAGCCATCTCAAAACAGCAGCAGCAGTAGGGAGATGGGAGGTTACTCGGACTGAATGGGACATTGCTTTGAATCACCACAGTATGTTTGCATTCCAGTCGGTAGTCCACAAGTATTCATGGACTGAGTAGTAAAGGCTTTACTATCCTTCACAGTGTATGCAATTGTATAGTTACATTTGTGCCGTGATTACCATGACTCTGTTAACATCCTTGAAGTAATTCAGCATTCATTTTCCTCCATTGTGTATATGTATATATATGTAAAATGTATTTGTGAGTGAAGTGTATTCCGTATTTGTGAAACTTCTAAACAGTGCAATAGAAGGGAAATGAACTATGGTTTGCTAGCATTCCTGTAGACTAATGTCTTTGCTTCAGCTCTGATGTTCTAAATGCAGGCACCATATTTGTTGGTCTAACATAATTGCTTTTTTATTTTTTTAAAAACAACTGACAACAAGATCTGTAGATGTTGATATTTAAAATCTTTGCGTCTTCTCCAGACTATACCAGTACTAGCCAGAATGGGGAGCCAGAGTGTTTATCAGCCATCCTCACAATTGTTGATGTGTTTGAGTCCATTGTTGCTCTCGCTGTGCCAGTCCATTTTGGTTTTGGGGCCTTCCTCTCTTTCCGCTGACCCTCCACTTTACCAAGCATGATGTGCTTTTTGATGACATGTCCAAAGTACGGGAGATGAAGTCTCACCAGTCGCGCTTCTGAGGAGCATCCTGATTGTTCTTCTTCTAAGACTGGTTTGTTTGTTCTTCTGGCAATCCATGGTGCTGTCAATATTCTTTGCCAACACCATGATTCAAATGTATCAATTTCACACTAGTCTTCACAATCACTGTCCAACTTTCACATGCATGTGAGGGGTTGGAAATACCATGGCTTGGGTCAGGTGCACCTTAATCCTCAAACTGAAGTCTTTGCTCTTGACCACTTTAAAGAGGCCTTGTGCCACAGATTTGCCAAAGCACTACGGCCTTTGATGTCTTGCTGCTGCTTTTCTGAGTGTTGAATGTGGTTCAGGGGGAAAAATCTGCACACGTGGTTTTGGCAGAAGGCCAAGAGTTGTTTCTCTGGAGTGGCGATGGCTGAGTTAAAGGAGAGAGAGAAAATTAATAGTTTAGACTGCTTAGACCAAAAGTTTTGAACCAGAGAAATAAATCACATTTAAGTTCTTTGCTCTTAGATTTTTAAAAGAAAAACTTTTTTCTTGGTGAATATAATAATACTGTATATATCGTACCCTACAAGAAACATCTTACAAATTGCTTTAGGCCTGAGTGAAACACATGTAGTTTTTGAAATATGTCTAGAATTAAAGTGAGGTTTGTAATCTTCCTTTAAATATAATCTTAACTTTAATTTTCAGCAATGCTGAGAATGACAGAAGACCACGTGCTTCCTGAGTTGAATAAGGTAATATTTATTTTGAAATAGTAAAGAAGGTTAAAACAAGATTTGTATGGGCTTTTGCATCTCTTTTCCCATCTCACAGAATTTTTTTATTATGGCATATTTATGTTTAATTTTCATATTTGTACAAGGCTTTATGATCTAATGTAGGATCATTTTGTTTCTCTGTCTTAAATCTTAAAAGCGTTCTCATTTTCCTTGAAAATCTAGTACTTAGCTATCAGTATCTAGGCTGTGTCTGGTAAGCAGTAGCTTTTTTGGGACCATAAGGACTGTGACTAGTGGAAGTGGAGTAACCTCCAGGAAGATTGCTCAACAGGGCAGAATTCCCCCTGGATTTCTGTGGTCGGTTCTTTATGACCCTGCCCAAATCAGCTGATTCGAGTGAATTGGTAATTTTGAGCCTGAGATAAATAACATTCAATAGACTGGATGAGCAAGGGACGTCTCTTAGACTAAGTAAAGGTTGTGAAGAGACTGTTGAACGGAAAGACTGATTGGAAAAGTTTCACTATTAGCTGTTTTTCTGACATAACCGTTAACTTTGTCGTGGAAGGTCAGACGTGTTCCTTGTAAGGAGGAGGGGAGCCTAAGGTGCAGTATTTATTGAGGGTTGACGGTGAGGTGGCAGTCAGGCAGCGTCAGTTCAAGAAGTAGAGGCTAACACAGCAGCACAGAATGCTGTTGAGTTGTAACCCTAGACTGAGGCTAAGGCTTAGGTGGGTTTACAGTCTCCCTCTCCCTAAGAAGGGACGTGGTTTTAGCACAAGATGTCAAACATTCAGTGAGCAGCCTTAGGCCAGGAGTTCTGTAGTTGTTGGAGTAGCAGATTGGAAATGGGGGTTTCAAATGTTTAATTACATGTTTCTCAGAGCCCGAGGATTTCGTCGTTTTCACAGTTACATAATCTCCTGGAGTTTTACTGATATGTCTTGGGAAGAACTTTGCCTGTTTTCCTGTGGCTTTTTGTGGGTAGTAAAGTCATATTTATTATTTACTTAATATTACCTTCTTTAATTGGGAAGTTTTCTTTTTCCTTGATTAGTTTCTTTTTGCTTTGGACAGATGACCCAGAAAGATATCACATTTGTTGCTGATTTTCTTACTGAACATTTCAACGAGGTAGGTTAAACTGGGCTTTGTTAATGTGATAAACTTGGGTAATGGTAAGAAGTAATCAAAGTTAATCCAGTTTAGGAGAAGGTCTTGGCAGTTCCATTTAGGTCAGCATTTGTTTATTAAGTATCCAGGCTGTTACCTGAACATCTACTTGTGTGCTTTCAAATTCATAAAGTTTTTGGTTTAAATTTTAAGATTTTATTTTTTCCTTTTGTGAGCTGACTTAAGAATTAAACTGCCCTCATCCTTTCTAGGCTCCCGACCTGTATAATCGGAAAGGCAGATACTTCCATGTTGAAAAAGTTGGGCAGGTAGGTGCTCTGATCAGAGCTTAGTTAATTGCTCTTAGTTTGATTTTTAAGAATGTATTTTTACACTTCAGCAGGATGGGTTTTGGATTATCCAACGTTCATGGAAAGTTTACAATGCTAGATTATGTAACCGCCCTGCCCTCTCAATAAAATAAGAGCAGAAGTTTTTTAACTGTTCGTTCTCAGAACCCTTTCACATTTCTGAAATTCATGAAAGATATCAGAGATCTTTTGTTTGTGTGGGTTATACCTATCAATGATAGAGATTATTAGGGATCTGGTTAAGACTGTAAAGATAATTCTTACTTCATGGAAAAAGCAAAATAACCCACTTAGTATTATATACAAATGTAAGTATTGTCAGTGAAAAATACTGTATTTTTCAACCCCCTTTAAAAATAAACCTAGTGAAGAGTGGCACTGTTTTATGTTGTTGGAAATATCTTTGGTGCCCAACTTCATAGAAAACAGTTAGATCTCTCATGTTTCTGTACCTTGTAATATATTCTTTTGGTTATTTGAATAGCTTTTTCTGAGATTATAGTGATTTTTTTATACTACACCAAATTTTGATAAGTAATTAAGTGCCATCGAGTTGGTTCCAACTCATAGTGACCTTGTATAGGGTTTCCAAGGAGCAGCTGGTAGGTTTGAACCACCAACCTGCAGTTAGCACAGGTTCGTTGTATTGTGGCATCTAAAACTATCCAGCCTCGTGTCTGTCAGTTTGTCATACTGTCGTGGCTTGCATGTTGCTGTGATGCTGGAAGCTATGCCACAGATATTTTAAATACCAGCAGGGTCACGCACAGTTGACAGATTTCAGATGAGCTTCCCAGACAAAGACAGCCTAGGAAGAAGGAGAGATGGACTACTTCTGAATGTTTAACCACTGAAAACTTATGACTAGCAGTTGAACACTCAGATAGCACAAGGGTATTGAATATTGAAGCATGATGAATAGCACCAGATTACTGTCAGAAAGAGGAAGACCCCCAGCAAGATGGACTGGCACAGTGGCAGCAGCAATGGGTCTGAGCGTAACAACAACTGTGAGGATGGCACAGGGTCTTTCTGTTGTGCATAAGGTCGGTATGAGTCAGACTGAACGGCACCTAACGACAACAACAAAACATCAGTAAACTTTCATTTGCTGTTGAAACCTGCTAGTCTCCCCTGCCCTTGCACTGGATCTTTGACACCAGGTATCATTTTGTAATGTCAGGCACTGATTATTCGGAACATACGGTTCCCTCTTTCCATCAGTCTCCTGAAGTCCTTTTTCCTGTACTCAATGAGAGTCTTCCAGGCGCTGGGAAGCGGTCAGCACACAGTGGCAAGCACAAGTGTACATCTTCTCGCCGGCAACACTCAAACTGTCGTTTGTTTCACCTAAAGTAGCAGCAGACTCACTGTGTTCATTTTCGAGACAGTGCCTTCCCAGTATAAATAAATGATGATTGTTTGTCTTCCACGTAAACCTAATAGAATACCTAGTGTAACTCGCAACTGGATCCATTTCGTGAAAGCATTTCCTCAGACGGACCATCCTTCTGTGACGTGCGCTACAGGTGCTTTGTGTTTGTTTCCTATTGCTAGCAGAGAGAGTATTCAGAACATTGCTCCTTGAGGACTGGGATTGGACCCTTTGAATAGCGTCACCAAACATAAGCGACACTGAGCGTCTGTGCTGAAAGGGAGCCCAGAGGCTGCTGTTTGGTTTGGGGCCGCCGTATTGACTCTTGCCAAGGTGCCAGCAGGTTTTCCTACTTGTGCTTTTGTTCACTGGTGCCACATTCAACACCACAGAAAGGCGAATGGCAGCTTATCATTATTATAAAGGCTCTGTGGGTGGCACAGACAGTTCAGCCCTTAACTCTTGGATGAAAGAAAGGTGGTTTGAATCCACACAGAGGTGCCTCGGAAGCCTGGCAACCTGCTTTGGGCAGCTCGCAGCCTTGACAGCCATCTGGAGCAGGTCTCTGCACAGGTTGGGGGGCTGTGAGTCCGAATCCACTGGACAGCAAGTAACGACAGCCGGTATTCTAACTGGGAGGCAGTGGTGCCTCCGTGACTGAGGGAAAGCCCATCATTTGTGCAGGAGACCTGGGTTCGATTCCTGGCAGGGCACCTCGTGTGCAGCTGTCACCTGTCACTGGAGACTTGAGTGTTGCTGTGACCATGAACAGACTTTAGCAGAGCTTCTGGAGTAAAAGACGAGGAAGCAAGGCCTGGTGATTTACTTCTGGAAATCAACCAGTGAAAACCCTATAGTGCACAATGATCTGGTCCCATTGTGCATGGAGTGGATGTAAGTTGGGGTCAACTCAACAGCAGTTAACAAACATAAATTCTTAGAAACATTGTATTGGACTCATGGCTTCCTGAAAGCATCTTTGAGAATCACTGCTGCAGCGTGTATGAACAGCTGATACCAATTGTAACACCAATTTCTAACCTGTGTTTAAGATTAGGGCGTGCGTTGGTTCTGTAGGATAAGTACTGGATTGCAAACCACAATGTCGGCAGTTCGAGCCCACCATGTACTCAGGAGAAAGATGAGGCTTTCTGCTTCCGCCAAAGATTTACAGCGGCGGAAACCCTCTACAGGGTCACTAGCAGTTGGAACTGACTCCCTGGCACTTAATAACAACAACTACATATTTAAGATTAAAATGTATTGTGAAAATGGAACACAAAATGTATAGAGCCATTTTATCGTCTCTGCATTTACGACATCGTAGTCTTTGAGTCGTTTCCGTTTTGCTAAGCTGTTTGGCACATTTGGTCACTTCACTTAGAATAGTCATGTACTTTCAGAGACTGGCGGGGAAAAAAGCCTATTAAATAGAAAAGTAATAAATACTGATTTTTGGAGCTCCGTTCTTTGCTTTTGCTTCTTTTTCCTAGTACTTGAAAGATGAAGATGATGATCTTGTGTCTCCCCCTAACACAGAAGGGAACCAGTGGTACGACTTTCTTCAAAATAGCAGCCACCTTAAAGGTACTCATGTGCCGAGGGTACTCTGGCCAGGTTCAAGTTTATTTACGACCAGGTCGTCAGTACATCAGCTAACGGCTTGGCTGAGCCTGTGTACAGTTTGTGTGTGTCCATTTCATTTGACTAGAGGAACAACAGCATAATAGTGTGTGGCATTACCATGACAGATTGTTGTTGTTGTTACTACGTGCCCTCAGGTGGGTTCTGACTCACAGTGACTCTAAGATTTCCAAGGAGTGGCTGGTGAGATTGAAATGCCTGCCTGACAGTTGGCAGTCAGGTGCGCTTATCCTATAGTGTTGAATCAGGATCCATGATAGATAGAAAATAGTTTTAAATTAGCGGTCAGGCAGCCCCATTTTATATACGTACATACCTGGTTAGCTTTCCAAGACAACGTTGCTAGGTGAAATCGAACGACTACATATTGGCCAGATGACACCAGTACGTAACTGCTGGATGGCTGAGACTCATGTTCTAACCAGGTGGGCACCTAACCAAGACAACCGGCAGTACTGTGCCCTCACACCTCAACATGTGTCACTGTCAGATGGTGTTGCTCATGCACACAATAGGTGGTAGATTTTTTTACTTTTGTTCTAAATATGAAGCATCCAATAGCGAGATGGTTGATAAGTGAGGAGTAGGTGCGGTAAGATGAGTTAATCGTAAGTATGCATACGTTGTCTATTTTACACCTTACAAATAACAGGGTGTTGGAGGGGGGCTGTGCAGCCTACCAGTGAGAGAAGTCTATTTTGCTGGTTACAGTTTGGTAATTCCTATAAAAGCATAATGTTGTTTAAGTGGATTCTTCTGAGGTTGTAGTGTTTTGTGTACTTGTGCATTTTGTTTTCTAGATTCTTAAATTAGTAATAATGTTGTTGTTAAATGCTGTCACTATGGTTACAACTCATAGCAACTATGTATAGGGTCTCCGATGAGCAGCTAATGGATTTGAACCTCCAGCCCTGCGATTAGCAGTCCAGTGCTTAGCCTACAGTGCCATGCCAGTATCATTGGGGATGTAACAAGCTTTTAGCTGATAGAGATGAATATATATATATATATATAGAAAATTAAAGCATGATGAATAGCACCAGATTACTGTCAGAAAGAGGAAGACCCCCAGCAAGATGGGCTGGCACAGTGGCAGCAGCAATGGGTCTGAGCGTAA